GGCTGTGAAATGGGATTATCCGGAATGTATAAAGAAACGCAGCCCATGGGTTTTACCCATGATAAAACATTACAAGGTAAACTCATAATCTCAATTCGTCGGCCATGACATTTTTTCTGACGTTTGCAAGCATTTTAAAACCATATAAAATTGAAAAAAAAAAAATTTAAATTTTTCACAATTGTTGTTGTTTGAGATTGGAAATGGGAATGTGTGTGTGAGTTTGAGTTTTGAATTTTTTTTACCTTGCGATGTTTTCATCATGGGGCATGGTGGAATAATAACAAGGTGTTGTCAGTAGAGACGTGTTTGTTGTAATTTTGACAAAATCGGCATGCTTATTTCCAATGATGCTTATTTACCTTTTTTTTCTACAAAACATAAGGAAAATAGTAGTAATATTACTCCGGTGCTGTATTTCGTTGGAAAGTATGTGTAGTCATCACTGTTTCTTGTATCTATTCTTTATTTTCTCAAATTGTAAAGCTGAAAATTTTGCTCTTATTTGGAAAATTTTGATCAATATTCAATTAAATATATAATTTCAAGCAATAATTAAGTTCGTAGTGAATATTTTAAGAGGCTAATGTGAGTTTTCATATGCTAAAAGCGTTTTTGTAGTTTTTTTAAAATATGTGCACATCGGAATATACAAGTGGCTTTTACAAATGGGAATTGCCTTGAATCTTTTTTTAAAGCATTTGCGACCTGCATTGCTCCCATTAGTGGCGTTCCAAATGCTTCACGATTTGTACCTTTTACAGGATTTGCAGGAAAAGCTGTTTTCGCCATTAATAATAGCTGGCCACTTATAATAGCTTGCTGTAAAAACCTGCAAATCGTCAAGCATCTGGAACGCAACTATTGTATTTGACTTCAGGAAGGTCACATAGAATCCATGTTTTGTAGCAGTGAACCGCTGCATTGTACCCAGTGTTTTTCTTGACGGCAGTGTATTTGTGTGCACGCAATTTCAGCAACTTGGAATCCAGAGCTTTTATTAAATCCGGCGCATTTGTGCACACGGAACTACTAGCGATTTGTTGGTGTTTTAACTCGTAGTTTTTGGCTCCATATTCAGGTAGTAATGCAAATCTTGGATTTTACAAATTGCCAAAATATAGCACCCTCTTTTTCCAGATTTGAACCCAGTGCTTTTCTAGCAGTGCACAGCAGCATTATACCTAGTGTTTTTCTTTACGGCAGTGTATTTGTGTGCACGCAATTTCAGCAACTTGGAATCCAGAGCTTTGAAATAATACCAAAAAAGGATTCAAAACGGCCATAAATTTCCCCCATTTTCTACTACTTTAAAATGCGTGACCGGAATAGACCTGCCGAAAAAGTGAGGTTAAGTTACTGACAACACCTTGTTATTATTACACCATGGA